CGTTTGAACAAAATATATTCTGACTTACCACTGAGTTACCACCCTTACCTAAGTCTGTCGCCATATCTAACCGCCTCTGTGGTCTAGTGGTAAGACCACCTGCTTCAGACGCAGAGGTCCCGGGTTCGATTCCCAGTGGGGGCAGATTTTTCTGTTCGGTTTGGTTGGTGGTAGGGCTTGTTCTAAGTCCGCCTGGCTAGCTACCACCATCTTACCTAAGTCTGTCGCCATAACAACAATGTTAACAGCATTGTTGTGTTCCGGCAGTTAGAGGTAAGATAGCCAGTTCCTCCGTGGTTGAGGATTCCGGGTGAAGCTCGCTTCCACCTTCGGCCTGATCATCACTTACCATCAGGTGAGATACAGGCCAAGAGCTTCCTCGTTGTGGATAAAAAAAAAAATATCAATAATGTTAAGAGCATTGTTGTGTTCCGGCAGTTAGAGGTAATATAGCCAGTTCCTCTGTGGTTGAGGATTCCGGGTAAAGCTCGGTGTGATCATCACTTTCCAAGAGCGCAATAATCCTGCATCGTGTGACTTGTAAATGAACTCAGAAACTCTAGATCAAGAGCAATTTGTGACCTAAAGTTGTTTCTACCCCTTTTCTAAAAGTAACCATCATTTATTATTTTGCTTAGGTTCAACTTAAGTATTTTGACATAGTTTCTCGTAAAATACAGTTTTTATGACTATAAAAATCATCCACGGTCCAGCCGAATGTTGCAGCATAATGCATAATCATATTATGGGCATGATCATCAACAACTTTTTATTGCAAAAAAATATTCAAAAGCCTCTATAAATTACCTTACTTCATGCATAAAGTCTTTTGACCGCAGCATAACCTTCGAGATTAAAAATATGACCTAGATGTTTCAGGTTCTCGGCCTGTGTCCAGTTACCTAACAAATTACAAGTAAACCTTAGTGCCAAACCAAACACTGGTTTCGGAATACTATGTTTGATGTTATGACGTAATTAGCAATACCAAGAAGATATGCAGACAATTAAGCAACATTTTGACTAAAGATCATCTTGAATATCAACAACGCTATTATACTCATAAGTAAAAATGAAAATATGTAGAGTCAGTAATGGTATTGTGCTCATAATCTTTATACAGTTTTTATTAATCCCAATGTCCTATTAAAAAATTAAAGATAATGTCCAATCAGCTGCTGCCCAATGATTTTATGACCGCTTTCAGGTTAAGACAAATATGAACTATACTTGATAAATTAATATGACTGTAACTTATGAAAATAATAAACACCTATGAATAAAATATTAAATTATTATGTGCCTATGTTAAAACAAATCTTCTTGTTCTATTTTCTTCTTTGCCCTCGTCAATTCCGGTTACATGGGGTCAGCTTTCCCATGATCCCTCGAGAGTAAACATACTAAAATAATTTTTTATTTACAAATTATCAAATAAAAGCAATTCGCGTAGGTACCCACAGCGGTAAAAGGTAAATACATAAGTTATTGTTTACTTTATGAAAAAAATATGCATAGATTATCACTTGGTTTTATTGCATTAATTAAATCCTGACGAGTTTTAATTAATTTGCACTAATTACGTACATTCTTGTATTGATATAAAACTAACTCATTCATTTGTTAGTCACGGAATGTCTGATGGTTATTAGTTAATTTAATTTAACTAAATCTTAGCCCTATTCTACGCTACCCTACTTCTCTAAAAACTAAAAATGTGCCTAAAAAACAGAAGAAAGACTAATTTTAGTTAAAAAGATAGCAGAAAAACAAAATAAAGTAAAACTATTAAAAAGAAGGATGTACCTATAATAATAATAGCATTGTTTGTAAATAGAATCACAACGAATTTTTAAATTAAACGTCCTCTAATTACGCATTAAGTAATCTACTGAAGTGATAATCTTATTACACAGTTCAGTTGCGTTCAGTAGAGCTAGTTGTTACACTCTTTATTTATTATTCTCCTATAACAACCAATGTTATAGGAGATTATTCATTATGTATTTTACCCACAGCTGAGATCTTTTGACCTGATTCTTGCCTGATTGAAAATTATATTATTATACCGAAGGTGGAAGCGAGCTTCATCCGGAATCTTTCAACTCAACTGCAGAAGAACTGACTGTTCTCCAACTACCGAATTACGGTGCACGAACTATTTTAATTTTTAATGTAAAATAGCATAATATTATTAAAATACTATGGGAAAAACGTGTACAGTTAGAATTTTATTACGTTTTACGTAGCTTCCAACTTCGATTCTTTTTCTTATTAATTTCTTTACGGGTCCAATCACATTTTAACTTGCCTTGGTCAACCTTTCACTGGCAGGGGTTTTATTGGCAATCAAGCTGTAGATCCTGGTTGCAGGAGTTACAGCGGTGGGAACGAGAGGTGGGAACTGGGAATGTGTATAAAAACTGTCAGAGATTTTCACACATTTAATTATCTTTTTTTATCCACAACGAGGAAGCTCTTGGCCTGAATCTAACAAAATTACATATTTATCATTATTTTATATAGTACAGAATGGTCCTACTGAATCTTCATTCTATTTTGTCGCAAATTGCCTAACCAGCCACGCATGCAACCACGAAGGCTGACAGCTCGTGGTTGCGCACGCGCTGAACAAACGACATGTAGCCTCTGAGTGGAGATATCACTCGCAGCGCAGTGATTAAGAGCAGACGAGATATCCAGATATTAAGATTTCGATCCCCGCACAATGCAAACATTCGTTTGCATGATTTTATTATGTACGGTAAAATTGGTCGTGTGACAAATATGATAGATAGTCCGATGTTGACATCTGACTATCATATTTGTTTCTAATAAACGCTGTTGTGCTGTGTTCTGTACCTTATGATTCCCATAGCAGAGGTTTTTAATATAGGAAGTAAATAGCGCCTGTCACAGATTTTGCACTATAGGTCTGGTGATGTTCGCACCTGAATAAGCTGGTGCTGGACCATTAGTTGTGAAAATCCTTTGGGAAAGCTTTTGTCCAGCTGTGGACTTCATTAAGCCAAAACGAAAGAACGAACAGATTTGTCGCATTCCTCTTCAACTCGTATCATTTAACCTGTTGGCTAAGAAAACGCTGCATAATATCAAATATCTTCGATATCTTTGAAGACGCGAGCACTAACAGGTGTAAAATAATAGAATAACTAGCAATTTATATGCTATTATCGTAATGCAATGCTTTGTGTTTATCGTGACGATCGGCCCTGACCATCCACATACATGACCATGTACTAGGACAATGACTGTGACAAAGATATCCTGTCGAATAAACAATAAATAGATAGTTTTGATTGCACTAAATAATCTTAACTAAATACATAAGTACCGGAATACATATGGAGCGGGCTATGCTCGGAGTTTCCCTGCGTGATCATATCAGAAATGAGGAGATCCGCAGGAGAACCAAAGTAACCGACATAGCTAGCAGAATTGCTAAAATCAAGTGGCAGTGGGCGGGGACATAGCTCGTAGAGACGATGGCCGTTGGGGCAGGAAAGTTCTCGAGTGGCGACCACGGGCTGGAAGACGTAGCGTGGGCAGGCCTCCTACTAGGTGGACCGATGNAAGACGTAGCGTGGGCAGGCCTCCTACTAGGTGGACCGATGATCTGGTAAAGGTCGCGGGAAGAGCCTGGATGCGGGCAGCGCAGGACCGTTCATTGTGGAAAACCTTGGGGGAGGCCTTTGTCCAGCAGTGGACGTCATTTGGCTGAAACGACATAAGTACCACCAAAGTTTGCTGAAATCACACAAAATCTGTTAATTGAAACTTAAAAGAATCACTCTTTCTAAATTACAGTCCGAAAACCGAAAATGGAAGTGAAGGGGGAGTTAGATTTAATTACTATTTTTGATGAACACAAGTTGGTGTTATCGACATAGAGTTTTAAGCTATTTTAATCTATCCTAATAAGCTTTTGAATTAATGCATAAAATTACACTTTTTCTAAATGACTTGATGATTCTTTGTTTGCACTTTTTGCGAAGATGCATTTTGTCTATAAATATCACTTACAAGTCATCTCATAAAGAATACGACTTCGTCTCAGCTACAGCCAGTTATGATTACCGCTAGTTATGTAGCCAAAATATCATGACAACAAAACAAACAATAAAACATGTAGTATTTAGCAATCAAAACACCAAATCATACTGTTGGTAAGTTGGTACATGATGACTTCTCTGATAAACTAAAGAATATTTTTTCTTGAATACATAGAGGTTACACATGCGAACAATTCAAATTAAAAATAACACATTTCTGAGAAGTAAAAAGCATAAAATAATTATAATTTACAATGCACAAGGTCCAGTCAGCCAGCGGTCTTGGAAAACGGAAGAACTCGTGCCACTGTGTTTCCCCTTAATATTTTTTCCATATACAGGCTGATGTTTTACGATCGAGAGCGTATAATGAGGTCAAAAAACATAGAGCAAGGCAAATATGCTAAAGTGAATTATGGAGTATCTATGTAAAGCGAGCATTTTAGGTTTTCATTAGGCTTTAACAATCCACAAGTTCCACAACCTAACATCCACCCAGGCAAAGTCTAAATTGATTGCTATTGTTTGGTCTAGGTAAAATAATATAACACTCTTTATCTTAGTGATACGAAATAAGTTTTGTATACAAAATTAGTGAAACAAAACAAATACAATCACTTGATCTTTGTTTAATTAGTATCAAATTCGGACAATCACGATTATATCTGCCTGTAAACATAGGTTATGCTACCAAATGAGCCACAGCTGTTACCCAATTTCAAGCTCTACCCCTACATTGTCATGTACCTTATATGTTAACTCTTGCAGCATCTCTCATTAAATAAATAGTTTGTTATTGTTATCCAATATCTAAAACACACCACCCCGTACATATTCTTGCGGTTTTTATCATCGTACGCAAATGAAATAATGAACCAACGAGGGGCAAATTAGACGTTTCGACTTTAAAGCAATTGCTATATAAAGTGGCAGTACATCACACGAGCATCATAAGTCACTCGGCTACTGGTCATTACCCACTCAAATGGTAGGTTGTGCTAGTGTTACCTTCAGGTGTACCGACTATCAGTTTTGTGTTCAAAATAAATGGCAATTACTTAAATGTGCTGCTAAAATTGTGGATATAATAAGTGTTGTTTTTGAGTGATTATGCTTAATTTTTGGGGATTCTTTGATAACGATGACAAAACACAACGGCATTGATAGATTTTGAGTGACTTCTGAAATAGTTTAATAGACTGTAGGTGTAGGTTGACTAACAAAAACAATGAAATAAGGACGAGTTACAATGTAAACTTAACGTATAATTATTCTATTAATTGAATCTAGATGTGACTAATTACTGAGGATTTAATTGCCTCAATTTCTCAGTCATCATTCTACCACGTGCTTTCTCAGAATCCGTACCACACCATGGCAAAGTCACCATCGTACTTTGCGAATAATTAATATAAATCCAGCTTATGTTATAAAACTCATAGCTCAATAGCTGTGACCTAAATGTTGCCCCAGTGACATTATAGTGGATTGTATTTGCATACAAATTAAGTTGTATTGCAACCAGCTAGACGCTAAACTGGTGAAAGGTTGCATAACATGTGCATTTGAAACCTCGTTAATTATTTTGAACAGTGGATTTAGACAAATGAACAAAAGGTTATCGGTTATCGAAGAATCTGTTGGCTTACTTTTCGTGTGATTTGTACCAATTTGTAGTTCTAGAATCTAGAGAGTCTAGAGCTTAAGGCTTAATCGAGTTATCTTTCACGTTTACTCCTGAAAGTGAAATTGTTAATTGATTTCAAGCTATTTATAAAAGCCTGCAACTTACACTAATACCTATACCTGCTTACCTGCTAGCTGGCCAGTTTCAATCGCATCCATTTCGAAAATATGTAAATGTGGCATGATCTTTATTGCTAAGAAGATATTCAGCGATATAAACTTGGAATTTCCCAACTCTTTTTACAGATCACATTTCTACGTTTTAATGACCTTTTGCCTTTCCATCAGCATCATCATCGTTAAGTCATTTATGCCCGTTTTCACCATCAATCCCTAATTTTTAAGTGACCCCTATAAAAACAAAATTCCTGTTATGTGTTACCATAGGGGTCTTAAAAATTAAGGATAGATGGTGAAAACGGGCATTAGTCTTTGTGACAGTAACACAACCTTCCAATTTACCAGAGGCAGATGAATTGGCCCCACCCTGGCCAGGTTTGGGGCTCGACTCTTTACACTTATCTAACCAAGTTCCATTTGTCCAGATTTCAACAAAGTACCTGATCGTCCTGTGCTGCGTGGCGGCAGCTGTGGCCCGCCCCAGCGACAAATACACCGACAAGTATGACAACCTCAACATCCAGGAGATCTTGGAGAACAAGCGTCTCTTGAAGGCGTACGTTGACTGCGTGATGGGCCAGGGCAAGTGCAGCCCTGATGGAAAGGAGTTGAAAGGTGAGGTGGACCTTCAAAGAAGATTGTATGGAAAAGCACTTAATTGCTCTACACTATAGGTTGTGGTCATACAATTACCAATGCTACTGGATGTTCTTCTATTAAACTAACTTTTGCCCCACGACCTCCCCTGTGTGCTTTTATTTCGGTCTGTTAAAGCAAGATTTCTTACAGCGTCTTTTGATTTTCTTTATTTGAAGGCTAAACGAGGGTGTCGTTAGGGTTGAATTTCTGAAAATCTCAACACCAGTGAAAAAGATTAGCTTTCCAAGGATTTAGGCTAGGCGTTTATGAGTCACTGAGTTAGTAAAATTAATTAGTAAGACAAATTAAATCTTGGAGTAAATAGCACATACCGAAATAATACTAAATCAAGTGTACCGGTTTTTATAGAACACTACTATTGTACCACCCCAGAAAATAGGACCTCATTAGGATATTATAGCAAAGGGGTTCTCGGATATATTAGGTCTGTTACTAATTTTAATTCATCTTCCATCCACAGAGCATCTGCAAGAAGCCATCGAGACTGGCTGTGCAAAGTGTACCGAGGCTCAAGAGAAGGGCGCGTACACCGCAATCGAGTACCTGATCAAGAACGAACTTGACATCTGGAAACAGCTGGCGGCCAAGTTCGACCCTGAAGGCAAGTGGAGGAAGACCTACGAGGACCGCGCCAGGGCCAACGGAATCGTCATACCCGAGTAGAAGATTGTGAACTAACCTACGATATACTCATGGGATAATTCCTTGTTATTTTTATTATATTTTTTTATTAAAAGAGTTTATTTAATGTTCAAAGACTGTTTTCTTAATCACCTCATAAATAGAGTAAGTTGGCGAAAATTCAAACAGTTAATATACAGTGTGAGTCACGTTAAAGTGTACATATGAAAATAGATGAAACTAGACCTATTTTTATCGACAAAAAAGAGGTCAAAAAATTTTTGAGATTTTTTTTAAATTTTTTATAGAATTTTTTTTCTTCCAATTACTTATTGTAAAGAAAACGTAATAACTTTTAAACTAAGCGGTATATCCTGATAAAATAAAAACAGTAATAATGCTAAATAACAGGCAATAGTAAAAAAATACATAAAATACACAAAAAATGCCAAAAAATAATAAAAAATGATACTTTTTGAAAAAAATCTGCTTAAAAATTCGTGTTTTTTTGGTTATTTTTTAAATTTCTCCAAAAAATGCCCCTATAACAGGTGGTTTTTATTATTTTGTATTATTCTCTATCTTATTACCTTTGTAAAACCAAAAATTTCATGTCTCTAT